GCCTGAAGGTTTCGAAACGAAACCGACGCTTCAGGCTTTAATTATCTCTTCCAATTCCGACGTCCTCCTTTTCAGATTCGCCCTTCTCCTTGTAGCCCTTCTTCTTCCTCTCTCTCTGCTTCCCTTATTTTTTTAACGTGCCAACTTTTTAACCCTAAACCTTATGTGTATATTTATACACATTAAAACCTAAATCATATTCCAACTAGGAAACCTAAATCATATTCCAACTAGGACATAATATAATATATATAAACATATATTATATTACACACACACATATATATATGTTCCATAATTAACCACTAGTTAATTAAGTCATATAAACCCATATATATCCATAAATATATATCTCTATATATATCTTTCTCTAACAATTATTAATTAATTATATTTTTATATGATTTTATATATTTATAATTAATACAAAAATGATCATTTAAATAATTAAATAACCATGAGCCTTTATTAATTAACCCAATAAGGCCTCCTTCAAGCCCAAGACCATATCCTTTGGTCCAACCTCCCTTAAGCCCAAATTCAATTAATTTAAATAAATAAAATAATTAAATTAAATCTAATAATTACAAATAATTAACAATCAATTCACGCAAGCATAAATACACACATTACAAATCAACAATTCAATCATAACATTCCACAAATCAAAACATCACACCCATCATCAAATATAATTGTGACACATAACTTAATTACAATAAGATAATTAATCTAGCACTCAATTAAATAAAACAAATCATTTTAAAAAAATAAAAATAAAAACAAACCCAAATAATTCAAACAAATCATTTAAAAATAAAATAAGAGTAATTAATTCCAATTAATAAATCCTTTAAAATATCGGGGTATTACAACAAATGGGTGTACAGAGTAAAAGAGGAACACGATGGTTCCAAGAGATACAAGACGAGATTAGTGGTCAAAGGCTTTTAGCAAAAGCAAGGCATTGACTACACAAACATTTTTTCCCCGGTTGTGAAACTGAGTACCATTCGCTCAGTTCTTAGCATTGTTGCAGCAGAGGGGTTGCACCTTGAACAGTTAGATGTCAAAACTGCTTTCCTCCATGGTGACCTATAGGAGGAGATTTACATGTAACAACCGGAGGGTTTCTCAGTCAAAGGGAAAGAGAAACTAGTGTGCAAGTTAAAGAAAAGCTTGTATGGTTTAAAACAAGCCTCGAGGTAGTGGTACAAGAAGTTTGATGATTTTATGAAACGACATTGTTACAACAAATGTAGTGCTGACCATTGTTGCTACTTCAAAAGGTTTAAGTCAAGTTTCATTATCCTTCTACTTCATATTGATGACATATTAGTGGCATGTTCTGATTTTGAAGAAATCGAAAAATTGAAGAAGCAGCTGTCTAGTAAATTCGAGATGAAGGATCTTTGTGCAGTGAAGCAAATTATTGGAATGAGGATTAGCAGAGACAAGCAGAATAATACCTTGCAGTTGTCTTAGATTGATTACGTTGAACGGGTTCTGAAGAGGTTCAACATGAATAATGCTAAGGCGGTGAATACTCCCTTAGCTAATTAAAATGTTTACCCACCCAAGTGACCCAACCTTGCTTCAAACCATAGTACAGTTGAAGCAAAGCATGGATATCTTAATGTATGACAATCGCAACAATATACCTAAGAGGTTAGGTCTATAAGCATTGATATCTTGAATGACAACCACACCACATACTTGTACAACCACAACAAAATGCTCCCCACTGGTGCTCGTGACCCGAGGCAAATTTCAGTCTCAGAATAGCCACTTCGAAAAATATCAAAAGTTTGATCTATCTCGAGCCTTTCCTCTCCAAAACTCTATCACGACTGGACCAGAACTGAGTAATGTCTATTTACCTTTAACAATATAGTCAGCGCTTCTTCCTTAATTGTAGCGATTGGAAACATTCGAAAACTTCAGGTGGCAGTCCCCATAACCTCCCCAGTAGAGCACCATTGCACTATGAGTTGTGATATTAAGTCCAACATTTTGGCAGAAATACTAAACCTAAAACACATCAGCCATGGGATGCAGAGCAGGATTTAATATTGTGGATCCCTTTTATTGCATCTCATAGTAGATGGTGCATAGGTCTAGTATTTCAACGTGCAAGAATCATTTTCCTTGCACTGATAGGTGCAAAGAATCAATGCTAATTCATGAAGTTCTTTTCATAATTGTATTTAGGTGATGGCCCATTATCATTTATCTATAGCACACATGACATTAGTAGCTCACAGCAACATATGCTTTTACATGGAGCGAAAAATGTAGTCCAATAACCACCGAAAGAGTTTAGCCTAAGAGAGATTTCCTTCTTTTAAATGAAAGATCTTCGAGAGTTCAATTATTTAATAAAATAAATATGTGTGAATAAAATTTACAACAATAATAGAAGATAAGCCAATTTCTTTACACCCTCTCAAATTCGGATTAATGAAGAGGGATGTCTTAGGTAGCTTGACCGCATGTTAAATTTGGACCAATTCGTGTGTCGGTAAATTTTTTTTATCTCAGTACGGGTAGTGGTGGTTTGGCTATGATGGATGCAATTGGGGAGATGGTGGTGGTACTGGAGATGGTGTGTCGGTAAATTACCTAAAAAAAGAACTTCTTTACTCAATTATAATTAATGTTTATGAACTTGTTTTTTTTAATAAAAACTCTAATAAATATTTAATTTTTAAAATTTTTTTTTCCCCTTTTTTCTACCAATCTTGAAATCTTAATTTAGCTCTTGAAAAATAACACTCAAAGTCAACAAAAATACACAAGTAATTTCAATAATTTATATAAAAAAAGAGAAAAGAAAAAGAAAACACTTAAATTTTAGCACTCCATAAAGATCTTCCCACACATTATTTTCTCAAGGGAAAATACCAAAATACACTATCATCTCTTATTTTATCCTAATTTCTATAGGTCTCTCTTTTCTCTCTCCAGGTAATTAATTGCTGTTACTTATAGGAGGACTATGGTAGAAGAAGAATTCCAGCAATGACAGGAAGTTGCTTCATTGACTGATACTATGGGATTCTAAAAAAAAAAAGCCTGTAATTTTCGTGGTTAATGGGATTAAGAAAGCTTCGTTCTTGTATACCAAAAACAATCAAGCTAGTAAAAAATAATTATAACTTTACACTTCACAATCTCTCCCTCTCCATCCCTTTAGATTTATTTTGTTGTTTTCTCCTTCCTTCTTTTTGCTTTTTTTTTATTTTATTTTTTTTATTTTTTATTTTTTTAAAAGTAGTATATTCGTTTTTTTAAACTAAAATCACTGATTTGGGTGTGAGTAGTATTGAGATCAATTGAGTAAAATAATTTAGGGAATATTGGAACATGTTTTCATCTATTAAAAATCAATGTTTACTTCCTTCCATTAGGTCTGAGTTTGTCTTCACAACTAATAAGACTACAATCTTTTGTACTTAATCAGTATGTTTATCACTGTAAATAATGAGAGAAAATATGAGAGAGAAATAAAATAGACCTAGTTCGTATTCTGAATAATAGAGGAAAAGATATTTGGATATTTTTCTTAAATAAAAATAATGAATTTGAGCCTTAAAGAATTTTTATGGAACTCAATAATTTAGGGAATATTGGAACATGTTTATAACCTTGTATAGTTGTATATTGACCCCACATAATACATACGGAGTAATAAGTCATTGATAATTTGATATTGATAATAAATGGGCGGGATTTGAAGGAACTAATATATTTAAGGAACTAAGTGGTGTAAAATTTTGTGAATTAAGTTTGTGATTGATGATTTTTTTTTTTTTTTCATGGAAATAAATTGATTTCTAGATATTCAAAGTTAGAAAAATGATAAAATTTACAAACTTAATTCACAAAATTTTACACCACTTAGTTCCTTAAATATATTAGTTCCTTCAATATCCTCCCATTTATTATCAATATCAAATTATCAATGACTTATTACTCCGTATGTATTATGTGGGGTCAATATACAACTATACAAGGTTATATCATATCATCATGTTTTTCTCCAAAGGATGTACAGGTTATATGCATACTCATCATGTATAAGACACGTGGCATGCAACTGTAAAAGTGGCATGCAAGGTGTCCACCATGTAATAGTTGAGACCCGTGTATAAATAAGGCCAGTAGAAGTTGAAGAGATATATGAACAAATATGACAACTTTTTTGCTCTCTGATATTGTTTGTTCTACGAGGTAGATGAAATATATGGCAATTTTTGCGCTCTCATATATATATATATATATATATTTTTGAGAATAAAGCAAATTATATTAATAAGATAAAGATTACAAAGGCAGGTCATTCGGCCAGAAACAGCCCAAAAATAGAAACAAGGCCCAAAAACGGCCCATACAAGAACACCTAAACAAAAAGGGAAACTAATAACCATAATTAGGCTAATTAGCCGTTAAATGTGTGAGAGGCCCTAGCCAGAGGTGATGAGATTCTCATCAGTCTCTACTGAAAGTAATCCAGTGGTCGAAGAGGAGGTCGACAATGAGACGGCGACAAGTTCCAGTCCATAAAGATATGTCTTAAAGAAAAGCTATCTTCTAAAAAATCCAATTTCCAGTCCATAAAGATATGTCTTGAAGAAAAGATATCTTCTAAAAAACTCAATTTTAAGAGGCCTGTGATTGTGGAGGTAATTCTTGCCAGAACAGCTCTCTGTGTTAGATTTTTTCTTTGGCTTATATATATAGTTTATATTTCAATAGTTCCTTGATCAATATACTCTGTAACGATTGAAAACAAATAGTATATATTATATAACTCTATTACATTATTTTATTTTTCCAACTTTTTATAAAACAGATTTTCGATTCTTTTTCAGAAAAGCAATTGGAACAAGTAACTTTTGTTTTTACTTTTTACTTTTTACTTCGTACTAGAATATGATCTTTCCTGTGCATTAGCACGAGTTAAAACTTTTTTTTTTTTGGCCCTTTTTTCTGTAAATAGAGCTTAATTGGTTAATATTCTCAAATTTCCGAAACCCTACTAGGGTTTAAGAAGCGAGCGGTTCCCTAACTCCCAACTCAGTCCCGTACTGCATACCCATATAACCTGTATCTTTTTCCTTTTGCAGAGCTATGAGGTTTTTGTGCAAAACCCTAGTTACATTACTTCGAGTTGATGGGATTTCTGTGTGATTCCAACATTGAAGACGAACTCAAGTATCAACCTTCAAATCTCAAGCGACCCACTTGACCTCTCTATCCCCAAAATCGACGATTTCTCTTCGTAATTCGTCAATTCAATTCTTTATTTAGACAATATCAAGGTTTGGAGTGATATAATCCAGAACCATATTTGTTTCAGCCAAAGCGATCCAGCTACGTTGATTGAAGAAAGTTTGAAATTCGGAGTAGTTGAGAAGCGGTACTAGATGGTCGAATCAATTTCTTGTAGAGAAACCACGGTTGGTGACCCAATTCGAGAAGGGTCTGAGAAATTGGGGAATTCGGGTTGCTTGATTGAGGAAGATATGGTAAAGGTTAATGTGGAAGAGGCGTTATACGGGTCGGCTGCTGTTGGTGTGGATGGCGTGAACAATGGTGAATTGGCTAGTGCTACTGGTTGTAGCGCGAAGAGTGTTGAAACGGGCTGTGTCAATAGGAGTGGTGTGAGGACTAGTGAAAGTGAGAGCCTTGACGCTAATGGTGTAAAGAGTAGTGAAATATTGGGTGTTGATAGGAATGGTCAAATAGTTGGAGTCAATGAGGATGGTATGAAGACTGTTGAGAATGGAAGTGATGGCAGCTTTGAGTCACAGAGTGCAAGCTTATCTTCATCTTCTAGTAGTGAGGACGACGATAGTGAGGAGGAGGAGGAGGAAGAAGAAGAAGAAGAGGACAAAGAGAAGGGGGAGATTGTAAGGGATTCTGATGGAGAGGAGATGGTTGCTTGGAGTGATGCTGAAGATGATGGTGACGGTGACGGTGGCGGCTTTGGTGATGTCATTTCAGGACCTATTAGGTCCAAGAATGAGCTTGAGGTAATTGATGGTAGTTTTTGTTAAATTATTGCATTATGTTGTATGCATATGAATTGTTATCTCTTGCATGTTAGATCTCATTCAATAGATCTATGGATATATGTTTATGGGGTTTGAATGTTGGTAGAAATGATGACAAGGTTTGAAATTGAAGCTAAGGGGTAATACCACTCATGAATACATATTGATAAAATGCGTTTAAAAGCTAAAAATCTTGGTTATGCTGTTTTAAATGTTAAATAATAGCATATTATTATTTGAGGGACACATGCATGCATTACTGAATTTAATGTCTACTTCTCTGTTCAAAATTTCTAATCAATTTCATAACTTATTTTAATGATTTTTGGCATTTACTTGCCTGGTCATAGTTTTACGAAAAAAAAATTATGGGTTTAAAAGTTAATGAAACAAATCTAGAAGTTTTTTGCTTTCTTAAATCTAGCTGACAATATAACAATAATTTGTGTCAATGGCCCTATGTTTACCCATACATTAGGGTATGATTTAAGGTTACGGGCTTGGATTCTCTAAGATATCGATCACTAAACTATTTTCTTAATAAAATCAGTTTTGTGTATAAGAAGATGTATGTTTCCCCAACACTTCATTATTATTATTTTTTTAAGAACAAGACGCAAGGAAGGATGTACTTAAGGAAAAGAAATTCATAGTTAGGGCAGAGCGCCTGTAATTCATGAATATTTAATTAAAAAAATATATATTTAGGGATACTGGATATAAGTCTCGAGAGACGGTAATTTTGATGATAAACTGACATCATAGGTAATTCAAAGTAACTAGGCGTCTTTAGTTTGAGGTGATGTAAGAAAGGAAATGGCACCGGTTTTGTTAATATCTATCGCTGGTGAAGGTATTAAACCCTTGAAATGCGTTCCATCATGCCAACTCTAGGAATTTGAGATTAGTTGACTCTAATACCATTATCCAATGCATAAGAAATAAACTTTATATCCCACAGAGGATTTATCCTATTCTGTTAGGTTGCAGAAATTTTCTAAAATGCAGAAGAGAGGGGGTCAGCCACAAGTCTTTGGGATGATGTATCTTGTCGAAAAAGCAGTTGCGAGTGGGTGGAGAAAAGGCAACTTCTTGGTTCATTTATCAAATAGAAGTGGGAGAGTAGGAAGGGTGTTTTCCATGGAATTAGAACAAATGGTTAAGATGAAGGCCTTCAAGAGGTGCTTCTTACTGGGCCTTCACTTGGGTGGTAAAGGGTAGGGTAGGGTGTGATATAGTTAGATCTATTTAAATCCAGACCACTAAAAAGGGCCATGAACAGGTATTTTTGAAGTGGTGGTATTGATGCTGAATCAGCTGAACTATAAAATCAGAACAACATTTTATGAAACATCCATAATGAGAGGCATAAGATAAGCATGGCTATACGATGATGACCCATGGCAATTTGTTAGAAATACAGATACACCATTTTTCAGGAGGAACTTCACAGAATATGCTTTGATGCCGGGCTAGGTTAATGAAGAAGATTACTGGTTGTTAATGCTGAAATATGGAGTTGCCAGGTTCACCACTTCACCTTGAAGACTTTGATGATAATTGATTTGTCAAAAGGGACATGCATTACTATAGTGAGAAGAAACCAATAGTTTCCAAATGTGAATAAGATTAAAATTACCAACTTCAAATTGTTGGATCCAATTTTTTGAGCTAGCATTACATCTTTTTGGTTCAATTTAAAACTTCAAATTTTAGAAGTTGCAGTTGGGCTAGGTTCATGAAGAAGATTACTGGTTGTTAATGTGGATAAGATTCACATTACCAACTCCAAATTGTTGGATCCAAAATTTTTCAGTTAAGCATTACAATTTACATTTTTTAGGCTCATTTAAAACTTCAAATTTTAGAAGTTGCAGTTATATGTATTTCTTAGTAGCCATCCAAGTAACTGCAAACCTTTTCGAGAAAATGGAGTTATGGAAGTCCTTAAAGAGAAGATGAAGGATATTTTTTCCACTATATTATTCACTGAGGAGAATCTGAAGGATATTTTGTCCATTTTGCCATAACTATATACAGGTGGTTATTTTTTTTTCTTTTTCTATTTTTTTTTTTTTTGATAAGTATATTCAGGTGGTTCTTTTGCTCTCATTTTTAAGTTATTAAAAAAATCTTGATTTTTTTTTTTTTTATCTTTCTTCTTCTAATTTATCTTGGTGGGGAACTATTGCTTGATGTCATGCGTATGGGTTTATATGCCGTTGGAGGGCTGAAAATAATTGGTTGACAATGGTTAGCATCTTTGGGCCGCTGAAATGGAAAATAGTGTGTTAGTGATGGATGTGCAACTGTATATCAGGTCATTTGCTGGATTAGATTGTTTCAAATTTTTGTTCATTTATTTTTTTGTTTATGGGATACCTCTGTGTTTTTTTGGCTACAATACTGTGCAATTAGTTATATGGCATCCTGTCATTTCCGTGGTTGAATAATGAATGCTCAACGAATAATATTACTTTTAAAATCCTGCATACCACTCGGACATCTAGATATTAATGAATTTACATATATTAATAATATATAAATATATATATATATATATTTTTATATATTTGCATGCAATACAATTATATTTGGTATTATCATCTTGCAGGTTCTACCTCCTGTACCTCCAGTGACTCTGACGTTGCAACCGTATCATCAGATCCTGCCAGTAGGAGCAGTGTTATCGGTAAGCTCATTGAAAACAAGAAGAAGCACCTGAAAAAAAAAAAAAATTTCAATACATGTACACAAAGGAGCGTTTTGACTCGTTGCTTTGTGAAAACATGAACTCTTAAGTTGGCTGTTGAACTCATATTTATAGCTTCTTTTTTTATTATTATTTTTACGTACTCTTATTTATAGCTCAAATGGTTAGATGATGTTATTTTCAGTTCTACAGATTATGGGGTCCCAAGTCATTGTGGAGGGGGTGGAGAAGCACGACCCTCTTAACGAGGGTTCTATCCTATGGATAACAGAAAGCAGATCCCCCTTAGGGCTGGTAGATGAAATTTTTGGACCTGTGAAGAATCCTTACTACATGGTAAGATATAACTCGGACAATGAAATCCCTGCTGGTATCCAACAAGGCACTTCGATCTCTTTTGTTCGAGAATTTGCAAATCCTGTCCTGAATGACAGCAATCTTCACAAGAAAGGATATGATGCATCTGGTGAACATGATGAAGAGGTTTCAGATGAGGCAGAGTTTTCAGATGACGAGGAGGAGGCTGAGTACCGGAAAAAACTGAAGACGACTAAAAGGGGCAGGAATGACCAGAAACAGGGAAACAGGAAAGAGGATAAGAAGTTCAAAAATAGAGGCGGGACCCGGAAAAATGGGCAACCTTCAGCCCCAATAGTGGCAATGGATGTGTGTGATATATCAGCTGTTCAAAACCAGCGATGTATTCCACCCATCGCAGCATCACTAGATCATGATAGTCAGCATTCCTTTGGGCAAGGACAAGGTTTTGCTGATGGTCCAGGCATTGTTCGACCATTTCCACAACAGTCACAAGCCACTGGTTTTCTTGCACCTTCTAATGTAATTAGGATGAATGGAATGCCATGTCAGCAGCAACACGGCGTGGTTGATCATAATGAGTTTCCAACAAATGGTATGCCGTGGCTACAAGAAAATTATCATCAGATGCCTTTGCTGAACAGAATGCCATCTCAGCAGCAGTTAGACCCTGGGCAGAGGGTACCTTCTAATGTTGTTTTAACAGGTGAGCAGGCAAATTCTTGCGCAGGACATGCATCTGTACCTTGGCCTGGGTACCCGGTTCAAAATGGCTTCGACCAAATTTCGTCTGGGATGGCCTTTCCAAACCAGCATGCTTGCCCACCCGTAAATGTGGGAGCACAAGGAATTATGTTGAATGGCTTATGGAATGAACAGAACTCTAACTTGCGGCCACCTCCTGTTACTCGGGGAAACATTGAAGCTTCTCAGAATTTTAATCAGGGTGTGTCTTTCAATCGTGGCAGGAAACCGCATCACAGAGGCGGTGGTCGTTTTAGCAGTGGGAGAGGCTGACGGCAGTCCTCATACTGAAATATGCTTGGAATGGAGCTGTTTATATACTCTTTACGTTCTTTTCATGTAAAATGTACTTTTAAAGATCTTTTCATGGAGAATCTGGAATTTAAATTTTGATCTACTTTCCTATATATATACCATGTGGATTTTATTTCTTATCCTTCTTGCGGTGGCGTTAATTTTCCCAACGTCTCATAGATTGGGATTATGTATTTATTTTTTCTTATTTTGTAATAACTAGCGTAGAAACTTTGTCAAACTAAAGTTCCTTTTCATTTTATCAATGGACTATTGTTGAGAAATAGGCCTCCTAGCAAAAGTTTTCTTCTCCATAGAATCATGGTCAAATTTGAACACTGAATATTGGGAGATGTTCACAACTGCATCAACTAAACAGAGGCAGAAGAATACATTAAATTTTGATTTTACAAAAATGTTTACTGGTTCAAATTAAAAAACTTCGATACATAAATCTAAAGGTAAAATTGGTTCAAATTTCTAATATATTGCAGGTGCTCATTGCCGTTTTGTGATTCAATGCTCCATTTCATTCGACATTATTCTTATTTTCCTGACTGCTACAACATGTCTGTGTGTGGTTCAAATAGAATGTATAAAATTAGCAATGTCGCGCACACAATGAAGAAAAAGAGTTGAACACATTTGCTGCTAAATGAAGAGAATGAATCGCTGGCTAGTTCTATACAAGTCAACAAGAACACGAGAAATTGTGATTCCGGGATAAAAATTCAAGTTGAAGGTAAGGAAAAGAGTACTACCACTGAAGTTATATTTTTAAGTGCAGAATGGGTGAAAATAAATTAATAATGGAAACAGAGAAACTACCCTATTTTTGATGAGAAAATAACCCACCCAAAAATATTAGGAAACTTGTGACTAAAAACAATATTTTGGAGACTCAAGTTTTCACATTCCTTGTGAAATCAATGCAAGTCTGGCAGCTGCAGTCTGAAAAACGACAGATTTCACATCCAAAACACACGCAGGAAGTGCAACCTTTGCATGTTGGAGATCGGGAGCAGCCCCTATACACCTTGCGACTTGCTCGCTCTTCATCATCATCACATGTTATTCTGTAGAAGAGGAAGCAAAAGCATTCACATGACTTAAGGTTTCACTCTGAACATAAGTAAATGAAACATCTGAGTGTGTGTGTACACAAGCACCAGACAGTTTTCTTGCAATTCTGGATGAGCACACAAGCAACTTAAAACAAATTACATACATAGATCAGTTTGTACATCAGGCATAATTCAGTAACCGCAAGAAATTCACAATCAAAAGAATATATATACACAGCCTGCTTTTCAGGAGTACAGCTAAAAGAGACAACTTTGGAAATTGAAAAAGCCCAGAGACGATGAAAGATATTGTCACATTTAGCATTTTTCTTTTAAAAAAATGCCATATCAAGAGACAGCTAATCTAATGACTATTACAAGCCATTCTTTACACCAGTAGCTTTGAACAGTAAAAACATGTAAAAGGGTAAGTACTAAGTAGAGAACAGCAGGTTTATAGGTGTGCAAATTATTCATGCCTATATTATTGGTTGCCAAGGATATATATCATGTAGGCCAGAGAATTTGGTGTCGGTATGGGAGAGTACATTCTTGTAGTGTCTTCTTCTAGATGTTATGTTGTGATTAAAGTCATTCGTATTAGTGTATATAGATAGAGACACCCACCCATGTAGTGAGATAGTAACCAGTCATGCTATAATAGGGACACCCACCCAGGTAGTGAAATAGTAACCATTCATGTTATAATGAGCAAAAAAGTAAATAAAATTTTGTTCCATACTTCTAATGTTCATTTTTGTTGGGTGAGAGACAAAGTTTGGTAACATGCGCCAAAATTGGTGGACCTACCATATAAAAGAAAAAACCAATGTTGAACATAAATTATTAATGATTCCTAAAATTAGTTTTTATAGATTAGTAAGGTTATTGGCTGCCAGGAAAGAATATATATAATCATGTATGTTAAAGAATTTGCTGGCTCTTTGGGAGATGACATCAGTGTGGTGTCTTCCCCTAGATTTTTCGTTGGTTGTGGTTCCTGTCATTTTCATTTACCAATGTATATAGATAGAGACACCCAACCATCCACACAGTGAGATAAATGTCTGGCATGTGTGTGTACAACGGCACAATCCTCTCCTCACAGCTCTTTGTGGACATTATTATAAAACTATCAATTTTTTTTGAAACATGCACCTTGTTGACAAATATAATATCAATACCAAAATTGTAGTTGTTCTAAAACGAATCAGGAGAATTTATTCGAGCAATACCACATGATATTTCGTCTTTTACAGATTCCTGATTTAAAAAGTGAATGTCATTGATACTTTGTCAACATTCTTAAATCACTAGGTGAGATATAATCAACGATGCCATTTTTTTTTCAGCCATGTATTTGAGATCCCAGGTTTCACTTTATTCTTCCATCTGTTCGTAACGTCATATTTTCCCATATCTAATACATCACTATACAAAAAATAGCTAGTTGAACTAACCGAATATCAGTAGGCTTTAAGGATGCCAACATTGGTCAAGGCCCAAGGGCAATTTTATTGATCAAAATTTTTTATTTTATTTTTTAAGTAGTTATTGATCATTATTGACGATATCAACAAAACAGCATATCAAGGAAATGTTACCAACATATAATCACCTTGAAATTCTCGAATCTTTTATACACGTGAAATCTATAACAATGTATTGTGGTAGTGAATGTTCATGTCAAAGTAAGCACAAGATAAATGTTTTATAATTCTAGAGTTCATTTTTGTTTTATGAAAGACGAGGTTCTCTAACATGTTCTACACTATATAAAAGATGAACATAAACCATTGAAGAATTCTCAAATAAGCTTTCAGTCAAATTGAGAAGGGGAAAACATACTTGTCATGTGGCATATCATCGCATTTCCAATTCGCATCTGCCAAAGCATCATGATAAATCCGACATTCCTCTTTAGTGCGGAGACGGAACCTGCGCTCTTTGTTACACCTAGTGCAGCGAACAAACTCATCATGATGACAAACACGTCCATTATGGGATCTGTGGTAACCATTGGCACTTTTTGATGCTTGATTGTAATACTTGAGCAGTGCCGTCTTTAACAATGGAACCTTCTCCCCATTAACAATGACCCAAACATTATTCTTCCATTTCCTAGCAGTTTCTCTTCCAGAATGCTTCTCAAATGCAGCGGGGGTCAACTTGTCTAATCATGGAAAGCACAACTTAGAAATAGAAAATAATAAAGGAATGCATTCAGCAAAGAAGAGAAAAGGACCTGACACAAAACTAGACGTCCAAAAAAAAAACTAAGATGCTATGTTTGGGAACACCAAACTAAATTTTCTCTAATTCCAAATCCAAGGATACGATTCAGTGCTCCCAAAGAAATCAAACTCCCAATGCAGTATTAATGTACAATAAGCATATGCAATCAACTCCGAGTACCTTTTTTTTTTTTTTTCCCATTATAAACGCTTGCTTGTGGAGGAATAAGTTAGATGACTAACATTCCTACCACTGCACTGAACGTAATAAGATTAATTGAAGGATTTGGGCATTTGTCTGACGGATACCACTGACAAAGATATAAACCTTAACGAAGTATCAGTGACATTCTATCCGCCACATTCTTTTCAGAATGCCAGGAAAAGGACTTGCTATGAATACGAAGGATTATAGTCATTTGAAGACATACAACTTTAAGTATCAATGGAAGTAATTGTAAAAAAAAAAAATGATATTTGGAAGTAAATGTTAGACAAGAAGAACTCAAGGTGATCTTTTGAATAGTGAATCCCAACACATAATCCCAGAAAAGGGCTTGCTACAAATACAAAGGATTAGAGTCATTAAATGGCACACAACTTTTAAGTACTAATAGAAGTAACTATTAGGCAAGAAAAAGTCAAGGTGATGTTTTGAAGGGTGAGTCTCTAAGTCCTAACATAAGAAGAACTGAACTATAATATCAAAAATCAAAACTTTAACAATAAAATCCACGCCAAATTGCAATCACGAAAATGACAACAAAGTAGGTTTCATCTTACTATACCCATTTTTAAAAAGAGGTTTTTTAATCAACAAAAAGGCCATGATTGAATAAGGAGCTGCACCATTTTGTTGAATGATATGGAGGAGACGTCTTTCAGTCAGACAAATCAACATACAGCTTATTTGTGTAAAAGAAAACAAAGCAAATCTCAAAATGCTCCTCAAGCCCATGAATAGAAACCAAATACAAAATCACATTCCATGGAAAACAGAGTGATGAGCATCAACTTCTATATATATATATATATATATATATATATAACATGCATATGAGTGAAACCCAATTCTCAGAAAGAGCAAAGAAGAGAGAAAGTAGTGAGAGTACCTTCCTGACAACCAGGGGTGCATTCACAGCTGATTTGGAGATCGCCACTAGAGAAAACCCTAAGCCTCCCAACAGCATCACCATATTTATGGCTCGTACACCCACACGTCACCTCTACATAATCATCGCCTCTCTTCAACCCACTTATCTCTCTCACCTCTTCATCACCGAACATGAAAGCAGCCTCGGCACCGCTCTCTCGCTCCACCCTCGTCTCCATTTTCTCTCTCTAAAACCAACCTCTGTTATCGCAGCACAAAAAGACAAAAAACCCACCAAGCTTTTCAGAGAAAAATCGGAGAAAATTATCGGACAGATAATAATAGATGTATGTTGAGACTCGAGAGATGTGATATGGGTGTGGGTCTATGTATAAAATATATATATCTATATATATATATATATAGATGTAAAGAATGCAATGCGAGAGAGATAGAGAGAGGTCTGACCGAGAAAGGAGAAAGGAAGGGAAGTCTGACCAAGCACGCGATCTCGATCTGGTGGAGAAAACGTTGAAAAGGAGGAGGAGTTAGAGAGAGAAAGGGGTTAGAGAGAGAAAGGGGTTGGCCGGGTTTGGTGATGGTGTTGAATAAATGAGCTGACGGAAGGGTTGGAAACAAATGTCGTGGGGTGAGTGAAGGGGTTGTTGATGGGCGTTTTAGACATGGGGGGTGAATGGGGAAAGCGTGGTTACCAGTTGCATGATAGGATTAGTATTTATATATATGGCATGAAAAAAAAGGTTTATAGATGTGTGTGGGTGTGTTTGTTTTTGGGTATGTATATAATATATATATATACATATATATAGGATTATAGATACACACTACGGGAGGGTTGAAATTCGATTTGAGTCAGTTTGAAAATCAAATTAACCCATAGATCATTGAAGTCAACTAGTTCAACCTATCTCTTTAAGGTTTGCCTGAATTTTTTAGGAACCCGTTTTAATCAAGGATTTGACTAATTTTCATACAAGTTGCAAATTCTAAGTAATTACAAATTGAGTTTAAAAGGTCAACTAAAATGGTTACTAGGTTCGTGTTTTATTTTTATTTTTATTTTGTAAGTGGTCTAAATAGTGTGGGTTTTTTCTATTATTATTTTCCCAAGTGGTTTAAATAGTATGGTACTTAGAAATAATATTGCTTGTCTTCTAATTCCATGCTTTACGTCAATTATGGATTACAAATACAATCACTTGTGAGAAATAAAACGTGATTACAAGTTTCAATTCTCAAATTCTTTATTTGTGTCTCTCAATCATTATTTTGACTTTTAATATCATAATTCATTCATAAATTTAATCACTCTACAAAATATTATACGGAATTTATCATTTATTAACAAAAAATGGACTTACAAGGATGTGATGTGATAGTCCAGTAGTAGGGTATGTGATGTTTGTGGACAAAGACTTATGTTTGAATTTCCATTCTAATTAATTATTTTAATTTTTAAAAATAAAAAATAAAAATGAAATAATTTCTCTTTTTATATGAAGTGACCAAGGATATTAGAATTTGAGAGGACAAGTGTTGAGACAAAAACGAATCGCATTTTTCAAAAATTAAGACTATGCAACCCAAATCTGTTTATGATTATGAGAGAGTGGTATCACTTCAATAAAGTAGAAACCGTAGCAGTGGCATTTGTCCCAATCACAATTTTGGGTGTATTCATATCTTATTTTTGGCCTTCTTTATGTGGCAAACCTCTTTTTGGAAAACCATACCGCCCTTTTGCCACCTTTTGCTTTCCTACTCTATTCCAAGTATGAAATCTCCACGTCAACCATATTGCAAGCTCAAACAAACATGAAACATGAACCTTACATTGAACAAAGCCATCTTATAAATAAATTCTTTAACAACTTTCAAGGTCATTACCCTTTCGGTCCTAAATGACGGAGTTTTCGGTCCTAATAACGGTGTTTTTATTGAAAGGATACCATACGTTAAATATATTGAGTCTCGAATTAGAATATTTGATAAGCGCTGAATGTTGCACATTTGAATACTTTAACTGGCATATAGTAGTTTTTTAGTATTATTTATATAATAGTACTGATATGATCATTTTCTTTGTTTTGGGGTGTTTTTAGGTATTTGCTTTCAAAACCGGTCAATTTTACTTTTTTCGGACCTTTGGTGATGTTCATCAAGAAAGATACTGACTTGCTCGAGATCGAATTAGAGCTTAATCAGACTAAAATTAAATTTTCTCAACATAGAAGTTCGAACTTTCAAACAAAACAGAATGCCTTCAGAATTCAACCTTGGAAGTTCTAACTTACAGGGCCTAAGTTTGAATTTCCAAAAGCTGAATTCGAACTTCCAATGTCTGGGTAGATTTCTTGATTTTTGCGGGATTGTTGATTTTTGCTCTTTTCCAATCCTAATTGGGCAAGACTTCTCCCAAAAGTTGGAGCACTAGTTTATGGCCAATTGTTAGCCAATATAAGTCATAATGAATGCCTTTTGAAGAGGGAGAACACACAGGAGATAGACTTGGCGGCTTGGAGCAATCTTTCATTGTTGAAGCTTAAAGAATGTGATCCCAATCAGATTTGTAGTCCATGGAGATAGCGTTCATTACATCATTGAAGATTTTTACCCTTCTCCATGAGTAGCTAAATCCCTTATTAGAGCATTGATTAACCCTAACTGAGTAGTATGTTTTGATTATTCTTAACTTTCGGGATTTTTCTGAATTATGTATATTTATTGCATGGTTGTAAGCAAGTGACTTAGTTGTACTAAGCAATTGGGTTTTAATGATAATAATCAATTTTAATGAAATTAATCTCTTCTCTTATAATTGATTTTATTATAATTGAATTCAAACTTCTCTTATTTTCTGTGAGTATATGAGTAGCGATCATGTAATGGTGCTTAACGAATATGTGAATGAATGTTTTAATAATTCGTACCTAGAGAAGATGAGTTGTACAACAGGGTAAATTAGAATAATTAGGTAGACAATTCGTACCAACCGAATATGAGTTATAATTTGGTATTTGTTCATATATACCTTCTTAATTGAATTAAAGCATGCTTCTAGTCACTTGGTTTCCGAATATATATAAGTATGAATTCCTCATAATTGAGACAATTGACCATATTATGAGACTAGTGGCATAATCAATCCCTTAAGTCTCCATTCTCTTGATACCTATTCTCATTAACTTAGTTTAATTTCAATTTATTACAATTTAGAAATAGATGAACACAATTCTCTCTTCTTGAATCAAATCAAAAATAATTTTATACTTGACAATATTAACACAGTCTTTGAGGTTTGACACTATTAACATAGCCATGTTTTATAAAATTTCGTTCTATTTACGAGTAATTTTATCATTCAAAAACGGACGTGAGTATTGGACACCTTTTCCCTTGATCACTTAAATTTGAATGGAGCTTGGAACTCGATATATGTGGTCATTTCATTGCACATAAGCCTTATCAACTTACCCACATTGTTTTTCCTATTTTCTTTTTGAATGCGTGTATATGTGAACATTGGATTCGACCTTCCTGGACGACCACTTTGAATCCGGCTTGATATATAGTTGTTGGCCTACCATTTGACATGCGCGCATATGTAGAACTCCAGTGATACGATGCATACATATATATCTATATATATATATATATATATATATACATGAATTGTGACATTTCAATAGACAAAATTGTATGACATATACCTGCCTAACTCATATTTGTCTTGTAATGACTGATGACCTTCACTTTCATTAGAATCCAACGAGAGGAGCTCAAATGTCCAAGTTTAATTTCAAAAAATACTCAAAGTTGTCAGTTCGTTGAGTTGGTAAAATTACATTGTTGGTATGAACACTGTTCAATCCACTCATTGAGGTTGGATACTTTCATCATCAACTGATCTGCTTGCATGTTGTGCAACAGCCTTTGCCTAGCTACCACCCAACTCTACAAGATATATATATATAGTATCTATATATGTACTGTATATAGCATGGTCATTCAAAGACTAACTTTTACAGCTCTGACGGTCCTCCATTATATAATTTTTTATATACTAAACAATTTGGGGGAAATTAATCAATAGTAGCAGTAACATGTTGAAGTATTTTTAACTAACTGAGTAGAGCTTAAATAACACTGGGTACTGGTTCATAACAGGTCTACTCTTATATATATATATATATTTTGGTACTTCTCAACATGATCTCAAACTCAAAATAAAAAAAAAATTGAATTCTAGAATGAACTCGAGTGTGATTCTAAGATTGATTAATCAATCAGGAATTGACACTTACCGACTTTAATAAGACATGGAGCATTCTAAAAGTGGAGAATTAAAATTGCCTCTCCATGGCTCTTAAGTGAGAGATGATGTACAAGAATGATTAAACCCTAATAAGAAAAAAAGGTTTACATTTATTTAGTCAAATTAGAAAACAAGGTTTGAAAATTAGAGTCAAAACATATTTTTACTTGAACTCATTCCATTTAGTTTAAAAATAAACATAAATATTTATATTTAATTTTTGTTATTTTTATGATATTTTAGATTCAAAATTATAAAGTTACCAAAATTTGTTAAATAGTCTTGCAAATATTTTATTATAGTTAATTTTTTAAAAAAAATATTTTAAATACATTCAAGATTGTATTTAATTCTTTATATTATACATTTTACGACTCGCCAAACTCATTCAACTCCTAAATTGAGTGGAGTTAGGAGTACATGAATAATTTGACAATTTTTTTTATTTTTTTCTTAGTTGGTACTCTCACACACATACCTCCACTGAGAATCGAACTCCAATCCTCTATTTGAAAGGTTGATATTCAATCTTTTCCTCCCTTTTTTTATTTTATTTTTTATTTAAGACTCTGCAAGCCTATTCCATTATCATTAGAGCATCCACACCCAAGACCGGAGTAGCCATTAATATAACTTGGTGCAAATTTATCCATTTGATGGGATCCATACCAAATTTTAGTTCCATTCTTCACTAGTAGAGAATGGAGTGGCTATGGACAATATTTTTCTTTAAAAAAAAAAAAAAAAAAAAAAAGTAATGGCACTCTAAATAAGATAATGGTTCTTTAAATTTGCTACAAAATGTTATCTATTTTCGTAGTTATTAAATAGTCCAACAATTTTTTTTTATTTTTTATTTTTTTCTGTATGGCAAATTGACAATCATTAATTAAATCAAATTCATTTTAGAATACTGAAGTCATCAAAACTATCATTTGAAAATATATATATATACTCTAAAAAATAATAAAATAGATAAAGAGACCCACACCACACCGCGAAGGAGAGTGTAGATCCATAGCAACACAATTGATGACGTGTTCTCTACACTTTCGGAAGAAAAAAGAAAAGGGAGAGCCGATATGCTCTATTACACCCTGGAAGCCGCTATAGGATATATATAGCCAATATAATATAATATAATATAATATGTGTGTGTTAGGAATAAAATGAGATTCTGCAGTGGACTAGTACGTTATTGCATTGTCTGTGTTCTCAATTTAAAATCTAGGGGATGGTCCTTGTACCATGTGACCAAATGGTGTCTGACACGTCACAATGCCCATCACTTTCAAACCTCTTCCAATCTAATCCGATTATCGCATCGTACGGTAAAGATATCTTCATCTCGCATGATTCGCATCTGTGGTGACGTT